CCGGCGGGAGGGGGCTGCCCGGCTCCCAGCCCCTCGGCAGCCGCCGTCACTGCTCGTGCCTGGGGAGCCCCTCGTCTTCGGGTCGTCAAGCCTGGTGTCACTGCTCCCCATCATGCATCCGACACGCAGGTATCATGAAATCGGTAATATCTAATGGTATTTTATTGGTGTTCGTCCGAGAGCGCCGCAAAACGCGGTGACTTGTTGGTTTGTTTTTTTTTTTTTTTAAATAGATCCTTAATTCGTCATCACTCCTATTTATTTCATTTATTTTCTTTGCAAATCCTGGAGAGCCACCTTGAAGATGCTTCAGGGGACAGCATGGGATCAAGCTTTGCATTTGAACCGCAGACCGATAGACATGTTGCGTGCGCACCCGGCGGCCGCAGGTTTTTTGTTTGTTTAAATGAAATAAGTATTCCCTTGCACGGCTTGAAACCTGAAGGCTGGAGTGTGAAACATGAGAATCTGAAAGTGAAACCGACTGGAAGCCAAAAAAGAAACAGATGAATGTGTTTCCACTGTCCAAGCTGAGGAAAGCCCTGAAAGCAAACAAACACCATGAATAATAGTGTGCAATAGATTTGAAATAAAATTATTCCATCTTCAGTCAGTCGAAGCTGTCTATCTTGGTGGTTTCTTTTTTTTTTTTTTTTAATATCTGATTTTTTAGCTGTTCAAAGGCAAATTCCATAATTCCACGCTGTGCGTTCAACAGGAACAACATGATAAAAATTATCTTTTCTTTCCTCTGGTTTCTGATTAAAGACTTGAAAAGGATTTCGATACCGCAGGAACTGCTGCGCATTGCCCGTGTATTTTCAAGGAGTTATTTTTAATTGTACAGGCAATTTCCGACTCTAAATACCTGTGTAGTGGCAGCTTTATCATTAACAGCCACCTTAAACAACATAATTACTGAGCAGGTGAAATATATCCTGTAATAAAACTATACTTGCCTTTACAGGGTGATTTTATGCAGGCACAACAGTTACAGCATTAACTAATGCATTCTGTGTGATTGCTTAACACATTTTTAATTATTTACTCCTTTCTGTTTTACGCAAAGTTTCTTCTTTACCCTTTCTCATTCCTTTGCTTACACTTCTTCAAAGCAATAATTAGAAACTGTGTTGGTGCAATGCCCAGTGCAAGGAGTGCACAACGCCACTCATAGATTTCTTTATTTGGCGAGATGGGAAGGGACTCAAAAAAGAGCTACAAGAGTGATCGTGTACCTGGGACTCATGCTTTAGGCTGGAAGACTTTGTAAGTTCATTGCGGTTAGCCCAAAGACACTCCCAGGTTTGACATGAACATAGGCTAGAGAAATCTCGAGAAATTCAGGGAGATTTAGGATGGTAGAGGTGGCAGCGGTACATTTAGGCTAACAACAAAGTGAACTTTTCAACTGCAAATTTAATTAAGCCCTTGATATTTCATGTAGGGCTGTGTCTTTAAGGTTAGGTGGGGTTAAAGCCTAAAAAGTATATTCTACCGCAAATTACAGTCGCAGAGTTGAAGGAGGAGTTACTCCGTGGGGTTCTGTGACCAGTGTTACACCCAAAAAAATCAGATACATAATCCCTGTGATGCGTTCTGGCCTTAAAATTGTTGGATCTGTGAGTCTATATAGAAACTGTAACCTGTGGGAACACAGGCACGTGCAGAATTAAGGTGAGACCTTGCAGTTTTTCCTGCAGCAAAGGAGTTGAAACTGATGAGAAATTTCTGCTGGAGCTGAAAGTCTAGGACTGGGATTTTTTTCTTGCTATACGGCAGACAGAGAAATTTTTGTGTTGCTTAACTCTCCTGCTGCCACAGCCTTATCTTGCAGGGGTGCCACGTAGTTTGCAGCAAGGGCTGCCGACTTGATCCTCTCCTGGGTGAGCAGGGCGATAAGGCTGCTGTTGGTTTACAGGGAGCAGGAACACACAACAGGTGCCTCCCACACGCCAGGGAGTCAACTGAAAGGGAGAGCTCTTGACATTTTTTACAGGATCGGGCCCCT